TTTTATGGCACTTGCTAAATTCATTATTTTCAATAAGTGGAGGCAGTCATTTCGAAAAGACTGATTCAAATTACATAAAAATGTATAAATCGCACAACAAATTATTAGCTCGACACACTGTTTCCTGTAATTTTGACCACTAAACTTATTCCTATAATGTGTAGCAAATCGTTAGAAAGGCAAAGAAACACGGAACTTTTTGGAATAAGACTGAGTATCACCAGAGTTATTTTTTTTGTAATCAAATTTTGAATTTAAAGTTGTTTATTCACTCCGCGCTGTTTTACGCCTTTGGGAGGTCATAAGTTATTTTGTGGAGCAGCTTTCTACAAACCATTGATGTCATCTGATTCAACATGCCATACAGAATCAACACGAACTTATCTTGTGTTATTATCCCGACAAACAAAAAAGTTATCACGACAGCTCTGCGCCATTGTACGTAATTCAGCAAAAAAAACGAATTAAATCATATCTCAGAAACCGTAGCCCCTAGAGCATTACGGTTTCCAGCAAAAACCATCAAATAGCGTTTATAATTACCCATATTTTTTTGCCTTGAAAACTTGTACCTACCGACATTTTTATAAAATAATGATTATAGCAATTACAAATGGATCTACTTCAAATTCAGTAAATCATCTTAAGTATGGTCAAATGCCTACAAGGCAGAGTTTATTGATATGATAGTTTTAATTGAATACTAGGATCATTTTTTTTTCGTAATGTCTTTAGAGGTTGGCGGGTGGTTTTGTATATTCTGTATTCATCTACTCATATACATTCACTATATTTTACTGTGATAATCTTTTAAAAGACCTGCTTGAGCTTGTTACGACTTGATTTCCCGGCATTTTCTCGATTTGTCCCTGAAATGACCTACAATCGCCCTTCAAATGTCCTGATATGGACAAACTGACCTCAAGTGCGGCGGTTCAGCGACACCGAAAACCTACGTACTGGTCTAGAAAGGTTGGTATCCCGGAACTGTCTAGATAGCAGGATTCTAGTGCAGCTGAAAACCTCGACGATTTAGGTGATTCCTCATATTTAAACCCATTTGTGTTCAAGTAATACTATAGAGGTCTATTATTTTGCTGCTTCATTATGATCTTCTTATTCTGGGCTTGCGCAGTAGCGAGACAATTTTTCGTCTGTCACAGGTAGCAACAGAAATCTTATTTTTTATTTGTTCAGAACTATTGTAGGAACTCGTTAGGAAGGGTGAAATTAATAATAAGTAATATATAATTTCAAGTTTAAAAACGTAATGATTAAAATTTAATAGATATATGAATTCTAGGTCACAGATAAAAACACACAGGAATGGGCAGTGTTCTAGTTAAGTTAAAATGTTCTGATTTTTGTCATATAGGGCTATGCTCTGTGGAACCTAGCTTTTTATTTGAGTTTTGTTCGTTTTTTGGGGTTCTGCACTTATTCACTCCTTGATCGTAACAAATATTATCAAAACTTTTTCATGAGAAATTTTCACAAGGTCTTGTGATTTTGGTAGTAACTTCACGTCCAAATGAAAAACGTATCCTGTTATGACTGTAAGTAAGTAGCACTGTCAAATTACCACGCTTCGTGGCCATAGACACTCTTCTTTTTCCAATCACCGTTATTTGATTTCGCTGTCAGAAATAAGATAATGGATGATTTAGCGATTTATTATCCTTGTTGGACTGAAAGCTTTGTATTGATCAAGGGCTGAGGTGTCATGTACTGCTAAAATAATGCCTGTCATAGTTGATGAATGGACAGATTATATGACTGTTCTTTGAATATCTTCTTAAAAGCTGAAGCAATTTTTAATTAGTGATGTAATCGAATAACCATGCGATAAGTTTTCATTCTCAATGCCAACTATATGAAGATTAGCTGTTTTGTAACAGCTGAGTTTTGGCCATGTCATATTATACATATTTAGAGCCAGTTTTAAAAAATCCGTATAAAATAAAAACGATCTGGAAATTCTGTTTTTTGGTCTATTCCCGGAAACACTCTGAATTACGAATCTTCCTATCAGTTCCAGCTTAGTTAGCTGAATGCGCAGCTTAGCCCCCATTTAACCGCTTCCGTATTTGTTACCGTTTTCGAGAATCTATATGAACCTTTGCACATCATACAGTTATTTAGATTATAATCAAACAAGAAAAAGCCTTTTGTTCTTATTAAAAATGGCACTATATAAAAATATACAGTCTCATTCCAGAAGTTCGGAGTAGGAAGACTTTTTACTTCACGTTGGAATTTACTACCTTGGAGCTTAGCCGAGGAGTTTTATTAATTTAACTTTAAAGTGAAATTAATGGCAGTGAGTGTCTCGAAGGAAAGTGAGAATTCGCAGTTTATACTTTTTTGGAGGCAAGTCTTCGAAATTATAGATATTGTTTAATATTCACAATATTCTCATAAAACAACAAAAAGGCGTCAAGTAGGTTGACTCTGTACTTCCCACGCCACGTTGTCTTCAGTTCATAAACGGTTATGTTCGGCACAAGTTAATTCCTCTGGACTAGCGAAAAACATGTATAAAAATTAAACTAAATGGTTCAAGTCAGCCAAACAGGCTCATTCAATTAGTCTACACACCATAAACCCCACCCATTTGATTACGATATCACTAGCTCCGTTCCTGCTTTAAGTATTGACCATCTAGCAACAGTGCTGAACAACACTAGTATAGTAACTCGAGAGAATCGGCGATGCAGTCAGAGTCAATCAGGCGGAGACACTCAGGCACCCAGACAGTGCTCACCGCTTGTCGGATCTACGAATATTTAAGGTCAAATGTACGGGAAATTTATGATTTGTTAAATATGTACTGACAGGTGCATACAATTGATGGGGCTCGTGTATAAATATGCTGCTGCTAAAAAACTGATATATACCCTCCCCCAAATCCTACAACTCAAAACTCCCAATTTTTTTTTAAAAAGATCAGGAGCCTCTGAAACATCAAAGGAGTTTAGGTGATGTTTATTATTTTCGTGTTGTTGCCCTATCCTCTTCACCACTGAACCGAATTTCAAGAACTGCAAAGCTATTGCGTTCTTGGCATAGTATCAGATAACCAAATAAGTTTGCTGTTTTTAGTAGAAAAATATAATCTTTTATTGAGAAACAATATGACACTATTTATTCGTCGAAGTAATTATCATCACATTCAATGGAACCAATTTTTGTATGCCGGTATTGTAAAACTCCCTGGATTTGGAGTCAAAAAATTGACGGATTGCATTTATTACACCATCTCGAGTTGTGAACTGTCGGTGCCTCATACAGTTGTCAAGAGACAAAAAAGGTGATAATCACTGGGCGAAATGTCGGGAGAATATGGCGGGTGCGGTAACGTTTCCCAGCCGAGTTCAGAAATTTTTGCTCGGGTTACTCTTGCGGTATGAGGCTTGGCGAGGCAACAAACAGTCGCTATCGGCCCAACAACATCCATGGCAATGTACGATATACAGCAACCGCACTTATTTGGTTACCTTAGTAACACTGTTTAGAAATTTGATCGAAATCCGATCGGTAATTCTCAAGTTATAGAATTAGCAGACAGATCGACAGACTGACAGACAGGCAGGCAGACCGACTTAAATGAGTGACATGGTTTTTTCGTGATGTACATGTCATAATATCACCCAAAAAACATAATGTTTTTATACCATACTTCCTTGGCAGAAGGCGTGGGAAGTAATAACCAAGCTAAGCTAGGTGTATATCAGTGGTCGCCAACCCGTCGATCGCGAGCTACCGGTAGCTCGTAAGGCAATTCTGGTGACTCACAACATATTTTAAATGGTGTAAAACTCATAGAAACTTCCGTAAATTTTGTAAATTCTCATACGATCAGCGGCAACATTGCGATGAGTGATCTGATCGAGAACGATCTCGATCACTTTGAATGGAATAAATACACAAGGCGCGATGACAGTGCGCTCAGTTTAAAACTGAACGACACAAAGTCCAGCGGTTGGGTTAGAGTTGGCCCGCAATTAAAAACATTATGCAGCAGTAGTAAGAAGATGAAGACATACCATTTCCATTCGGAATGGGAAGTACAATATTTCATTACAAAAGTTACAGGTAAAAATGTATGTTTGTTATGTAATACTCTGTCAAGGGAATATAGAGAGGCACTATAAAACTGCACATTCGAATTTTGCAAAATCATTCCCTTTACGATCTGCAACCAGAACGGAAAAAATCAAGAAATTGAAAAATCAGTTATATGGACACCAGACGATATTTTTAGAAGCTGCAGATTCATTATTTGCCAACTTTAGAGATAATGACGAGAAAGTGTCTGCTATAAAATCTATGCAACTTTCTGCTAATACAGTGATTAGACTAGTAGAGATAATGAGCAACGATATAGTTTAGCAGTTAAGAAATTACTTCAATAACTGCTTATTTTTCACTGAAGCTGGATGACTCCACAAACGTCGTTGACACCTCTCGGATGGCCGTGTTCGTCAGGATGGTTTTTAGTGACAGACTTCTGAACAGGACTTATTTTCTTCTTTAAAAATATTATTTCTTCTGAGAAAATTCCAATATCAAAAATGGTAGGTTTGACAACCGATGACGCTCCAGCTATGTGGGCCATGATAAGAGTATCGTGGGGTTATGCCGTGAAGACGAAAGTTTTCCGCAATTTCTCTGTTACCACTGCATTATCCATCAGCAAGCATTATGGGGCATTTTCTAAAACTAGACAACGTTATGATATTAGTAGTAAAATTGTGGACAAGGTTAGAGCTTAAGAGTTACAAAGAAGATCATTCAAAACTACTTCTTCACTCTGAAGTCCGATGGTTAAGTAGGGGACGAGTGCTGAAACGTTTTAATGATGCCATATCTCCCATAGTTCAATTTTTCAAACAACGTGATTAACCGATTCCAGAACTGGAAAATTCAATGTTAGAGAGCTTAGAGATTTTGGTTTTCTTGTGGATATTACAGAAAAATTAAATGTACTTAATTGGCAGCTTCAGGGGAAGACAAAGAACTAGCAGAAATGGTTTCTGATATACAAGCGTTTATCAAAACGCTTGAGTTTTGGGAACAAAACTCAATCGATGGCGATACCAGGCATTTTCCTGTTCTTTCAGAAAAGATATCTCAAAGTCCATTAGAACCACATGACAGTAAATATCATGTAGAAATAGTCTCTAACTTGAAGGGTAACTTCACACATCGTTCCAAAGATTTCAACGAAATTGCTATAGTGGCGCAATTTATTGTTTCACGCTTCATGGTAATTGATATCCAACAGTTTGAAACTTCTGTTACGCAGAATTTTAGCTAAGACATCGCTGCGACAGAAATGGAAGTGATTGCGCTTCAAAATGATTTTGCTTCAAAATCATTAGTCTCAAATACAAAATGTATCTGGCGTTTTATGCAGTGTTGCCTTGAAAGTGAAAGCGTGTATGAATCTTCTTTTTTTGCAAATACGAAGTTTATTACAAACAAATACCGTAATCGACTTACACATCAACATTTGAATAATTATATTCGAATAGCGGTATGAAATTATACCCCAAACATTAAAAAAAATGTCAGTGAGTCTGAGTGTCAGGCTTCTCATTGATCACGCATTTTTTACCTGGAAATATTTTTGTTTAAAGAACTGCGTTGCTTTCCTTATTTTTAGTGACATGCCATTGTGGCTGACGAAATTTTATTTTTATTTTTCAAACACCTACGATTGATGGGAATGGATGTAGTTATGTAGTATGTATCAGGTATTCTTTTATTTTTAGGTTTATTAGTATCTATTAGTATTAGTAAAATAATCACATGTATGTCGCATACAACTGTGTATAATTTCAGTATAAGTTGGCTTACATTGCTGACGACTAGCTAGCTCACTGTTTATTCCATAATTATTAAAGTAGCTTAACACACTGAAAAGGTCTGAGACCACTTGTCTACTATATGCCTTCACAGAAATCAGTCTCAATATGAGGATATAGTATTATTTTTCCTCAATTCGTCCTCGAGCATCTAGGAGGTACGCGTGGTTTTTGTTGGCTACTGTTGTCCGCAATAGCAACGTTTTCGAACTTTTGAAGTTCATAAATGGATGGTTACCTTATTTGCTGAAATTTTATTCGCCAAAGGAGTATGGAAGTTCTCGCTAAACTGTCTCAAGTTCAATTTACGTCAGCTGAATGGGAAAACACGCTTTTGTAGGAAAACACTTTCACGCCGCGCTTTTCGCTGATGCCTACATATTTTACCTCTCTACCAAGTGATTGTGACAAATCGATATGTACTGCACAAAAAGTCCTGTCGCTAAGAGATGCGGATATCCTATAGAATAGTCATAACGAGCAGTTACACTCGCGCAAAACAATGCATGCATTTTTTAGCCGTCACAAACTCGAGTTTAGCTTATCATATTATGTCGCTCCGGCTTATCGTTTCGGATTTAAGAAAATTTAGTATGTTAACAAGGATGTGTGCAATGTAGCTGTAGATGTGCCTATCGAGTAACTATCTGATCAGTCGACGCGTGTCAATGTTAAGTATAACCATTTTCACTAAGGCCCGTATCGTCAGTCGTCCCTACAATTGTAGGGCGCCTTTATGGCCTCCTTGATTGTCATAGTTTTCTACTTCTCTGTGTCAGCGCTCTATTTTGAGGTTATGTCACAAACATCTATTTGCATCAAATTGTGCTTGCTTTTGAGTTATATCATGTTTTATCAGCCTGAAATTTCCTACAATTTAAAAAGAAAACATATCTCCACAATAGGAGAGCGCTGACGCTGACACGGGACAAGTGTAATCTAGAAATTTTTGAAGGAGACAATGACAATCAAGGAGGCCATAAACGCGCCCTACAATTCAAGGGACGACTGACGATACGGGCCTAAAATGCGTTGTTCCACAATTTATTACAGTCTAATAATTTATTTAGGTATAGTTCCAAACGTCACCGTTTCCGCGAATAATGTTGTCTTAATAGGGAGTTTTCGGTCAGGGACTGTATACGTCAATTTCCTAATCCTTATGGTTAATTTTATAGTTATTGGTTATTGTAGAGATAAGTTTTTGGACGCGATTCTCATTAACGGGCTGCTACTTGTTAGTACTGGCTGCTCTCAACCGTCACATTTTCATTATGCGAATATTCTTTGCTGGACATATCATTTTACGTTGTGAACCTTGAAACCACAAATCCACAACCATCCAAACAACAAAAACAAACATAACCAAAAACGATGAATTAGCCAGAAACTACTTATGCTGTGCATGCTGTGTTATTTCACTGCCAACCAACGTCAGCTCTACACCTACACAGCAAACTGCATTCACGGCTTTATTGTATGAAACTGACAGGCTATATAACGTATATGTTCTATTGAAGCTTGAATATTATCTCTGACATGGAATCCGCATTGCATTATCCATATAAGTAGCTTTGAGTAGAACTTCGTTTCCTAAAGTATTTATAATGAAAATTGGATGGCATATACCCACGTCATTGAGTAATCAATATGTAACATATCATTTTGTTAATATGTTAATCATTGTTGTCTTCGATTGTGTAGTAATTAATAAAGAAATAAAAACTACGCATAAAATTATCGCTAATCCTTATTACATGAACACGGTTAGTAATGTTATAGACTGGCAGCTCGGTAGTGCTCCAACTCCGATTTCCAAAATTGCTGACAAATGTGTTAACCAAAAAGCTATACATTTTCTATGTATAAGAACACATAACTGGTGTTAAGTATATCAGTTCGGTACTTCTGACTCAGTAAAAAGACGGCTCGTGGATAGAGACAGTGTTATCTATCCATATCTGAAATTATAGGAGCTGTGTCTAATTTCAAAATTTTTTAGTAGCCTAAATTCTTTTTACTATGCGCTGAAGTAGCCAGAAGGCCAAATCTTGAAATGAGACTATATAAAAGCAGAGAAACTGGGGGTGGTTCTCTTACCTTCCCCGAAAGTTGATTTCTGATCGCTAATAGAGTAGTCGCTCCCCGAAATCATTCTCGGAAAAAAGGTGCGGAAGACGACGATAACTGAATGAATATGAGGATGAGAAACCTACTGTTTTGCAGAAAATGAATGCTTTCAAGAACAATACACGTTTGGCAAATGTCAACAGCTCTCATAATTTGGTAGAACCTCCCAGGGAAGAGAACCAGACACCACTTTCTTCCAGTGACTCTACTCCCTGGCAGAAAAATCAGTTGTAGGATCAGTTGTAGATGTTAAACTGTTAACACAGGAAGACTGATTACCTAGATTTTTTTGTTTTTTTCGCCGCCCTCGCTGATAAAGAAGAAAGGCTATTTTATCATTTACATTGCAGTAGCTTTGTGTTAAAATTCTATCAAAATGCGAGCATTAATTTCCAAATTAGAGGAATAGGGGTATCATGCGTAAATCATTTTAAGGACTCACTCAAAACAGTCGTCACATACAACATAGTTACGAGCATACCTCCGAATTCTAATGCTAAACAATGACAAAAACACTGCTCTGAAAAATTATTGTGCGACTCTGTACCGCTGCCTCTAGCTTGGTTTGTGGCTGAAAAGCGCACGTCGGCAGCTCTCTTTATACGGCGTTTTGAGGATATACTGACATGCGGTGCGCGTCATATCCAATTAGCTAACAAATACTAGGCAGATTGATTTTACTGACGCATGTATATACTGTGGATATGCCCTATTCTTTACTCTGGAAAAACATGTATACAATCACCGTTCCTTCAATTCTTTCGATTGGCCAACTAAAAACGCTATTCTGGGCATGAAACGGCTTCTAAACGTGGAAAATGAATATACGGTATTTGGGACTTCCGCCAGAAAAATCTCATACAAATAAACAAATTGTGGAAACAAACCATAAAAATAGTATAAAATATCAGGCTTCATTTGGAACATGTGATTCAATCAAGGTGACGAGCAAGATTTAACAGGTTGAATGCTATGACGGTCACAAACAATCCCACCATGCCATGGCGATCGTATGCGATCGCTCGACACTTGCCTTCAAAATTCGTTTATGCTGTGCCAGCGGCAATTGATAGGCATATATACGTAATTATTATGGTAGAAGAGCGCTGTGGCATACATGTCTAGCTTAAGTTAGCGGTTTTCGGTGTAGCCTACAAGGGGGAGTGAAGATAATGTCTGAAGTCATTTTTTAACTTTAATTAATATATATATATATATATATATATATATATATATAAATATATATATATATATAAATATATAACATATGCAAGCTGGAACCCCGAGGAACTTAGTAACGAGTTTTTCACCCTGCTTTTTGGAATTTCAACTTGCACTTTTTTAGCATAGCAACCTCTGCAGTATTTTGTCACTTTATCGAAGGCGCCTACTTTCTTTGATATAGGATTATGTGTTTTTGAGACTATTGAGGTCTGATGTGGTCGGGATTCCGGTAGATTGGTGTTATCGTAATTCAGAAGTGATGATACCAGCTGCTCCCGGAGCTCTGTTATTTTCAAATCCCATTGAACGCTACGATCGACAAAAACAAGCTAACCTAATTTTGCCAAGCATTTTTATTTTCTGTTTCTGACCCGAAGTTCAAAAGTTCAAACTCGCAAAAGACGACCGCTGGGACGACCGCTAGGACGACCGCTTGGCACTAAGGGAATGATAGTGGCAGTTAAGCCGCGGCGGGGGTATACGACCGCTGACTTATTTTTGCCAGTATGTATGCTAATAAAAAAATTAATTACCTAGTATAGCGTCTGATGCAACAAGCTTCACTTTTTAAAGTTGGCACCAGGGACGTTTTACTACGATTTTAGTATAACAATATACGAGTACTCATTGTGTTGCTAACTACACACTGCATATTTTTTCAGGAAAAGGGATACTAAAAATTTGTATAAAAAAATGTTTAGTGGTTCCTAAAGATTAGTTCACCCTCACCTGGTGCAATCCAAATTGAATATTTTCGTGTACCTAAATGTGATAATTTCACGATTTGACTTTGATATATACGTACCAAATCTAGAAGTGCTAGTCTGAAGCTAGCCCGATTTGTCCTACTTTTGGAAACATAATCTTCTAAAATTCATTTTCAAATCAACTTTTGTATAATTAATTATACTTTCTACAACCCCCGTAGGGTCCGTATTTGATTCATAAATTGCCAACATTTACATGACAGGAAAAGGAATGATTATATTGCATATATGCACGTTGGAAGATAATCACGGAAATTACCTATTTATTTACTGAGACT